CTTTGATGGATTTGATCAAGGAGGCTTAGGTGGAAGGATTGAAAAAGGAAAATTGGAAGACTGAGCGGATTAGAGGGCAGATTCCTTTGTTTGTTAGAGACAACCGGGGGTTATTGACATAGTGTGGTAGGGTTTGGGTTCCGGCATCAGGTGGGGCGAGACATACAGTTTTGGAAGACGCACATAATTCAAAATTTTCTATCCACCCCGGGGCCACGAAGATGTACCGAGATTTGAGGTGAAGTTACTGGTGGCCCTGTATGAAGAGGGAAGTCGCGTGGTTCGTTGAGCGATGTCTGACTTGTAGAAAGGTCAAATCCGAACACCAGAGACCTCACGGCACGGTGCATTCGTTACCCATTCCTATGTGGAAATGGGAGGAAATCACTATGTATTTCATCACAAAATTGCCAAGGACGGCACGGGGTGTTGATTCTATTTTGGTCATTATGGACAGCTTGACCAAGAGTGCATATTTTATCCCGATTGCCGAGAGCATATCCGTAGAAAAGTTAGCGGATATCTATGTTCGGGAGGTGGTAGTCAGGAACGGGGTGCCGGTATCTGTGGTCTCGGACCGTGATGTTCGTTTCACATCCAGGTTTTGGAGGAAGTTCCATGAGGAGTTGGGGTACTCAATTGCATTTTAGTACAACATACCAACCCCAGACCAAAGGTCAGAGCGAACGGACGATCCAAACGCTCGCGGATATGCTTCGGGCTTGTGTGCTGGATTTTGGAGGGAGTTGGGATACTTAACTTGCACTGGCAGAGTTCTCCTACAACAGCAGTTATCATGCTAGTATTGATCAACCGTCATTCGAGATGTTGTATGGAAGGAGGTGTAGGACCCCAGTTTGTTGGGGAGAGTTCGGACACTGGGTCATGGGAAGCACTGAGGTGGTGCTTAAGACCATTGAGTTGATTCAGCAGGTGTGCGACAAATTGCAGGTAACGCAGAGTTATCATAAGAGTTATACTGACCGATGTCGTTTGGATCTCGAGTTTTAGGTGGGAGACTTTATGTAGCTGAAGGTGTCACATTGGAAAGGTGTCATCCGATTTCGGAAGAGGGGCAAACTGGGTCCCCGAATTATTGGTCCATTCAGGATTTCTGCTCGTGTTGGCAGGGTTGCATACCGGTTGGATCTTCCTGAAAAGCTCATACAGATCCATAACACTTTCCATGTGTCTCGGTTGCAGAAATGTGTAGCCGATGATTCAGAAGTGATCTCGTTGGATGGTATTCAGGTGGATGGGAGCCCAAACTATGTCTAGAGGTTGGTGGTTATTTTAGAGAGAAAGATGAAAGTCCTGAACAACAAGGAGATACCTTTGGTAAAGGTACAGTGGCAACATCGGAGAGGCTCTGACTGGACCTGACATTTTTAATCATAATTTGGTACTTCTAAATTCAAACCTATAATTTCAAGAACGTGTGCAAAGGTGTGCAAAGGAGCCCTAATGGCATTTTTGTAATTTTGGCCTCGGAGTACGCCACACGTACATGGTGTACGCGGAACGTACTAGGGCACACCCTAGTACGTTGGGCGTACATTAGTGTACTCTAGGCGTACTTGCCAGATAAGGAAACCCTAATTTTTAGGGTGTGGCTCACATTTAAGTACTCTTATGGCCTCATTTGATTCACCTTATCTGCCTTCATCCCTCTCATATGTTAGTACAACCCTAGTGTCACCTTGAGGAGCCTTTCTAAGCTTATAATTGTGTTTTTGGTGCCTTAGAAGAAGAAGGAAGGAATCCAAGCTCATCTTAAAGGAGTGGAACACTTGGATCTGAGATTTCTACATCATTTGCAACCATTCTAAGATAAAAATCTTGCAACTTTATTCCTCTAGTATATAGATCTAGTTTTGGATGTCTTTATGGAGCTTTTTGGTCCCAAAAATGTTAGATCTTGAATATGGCATGTTCTTGACCTTTGAGTTGTCCTTTCAGACCCTAAGAGGGGTCTTAAGTCATAAAAATGGGTTCCAAACGATTAGTTTTGCTTCATGCATCATTTAGAAGGTCTTAATAGAATAAGACCTTGTGTTAAGCACTTATTGGACATGCTAGGTCATAAAGTTGGAGACTTTATGACTCCTGTGAGGATTTTAGCCATGGATCTGAATTATGGACGTAAGAGCTTAAGACATTAAGCTCTTAATAGAGTTTAGGACTTGGGAGGGTATGCCTCGCCTACTCGGAGTACGCCCTGCGTACAAGGTTAACCACCCCGATGGTGGTCAACTGCGAGGTTGCGTGTATGCCCAGAGTACCTCCGGAGTACGCCCTGCGTACGCACCCTGAGTTGACTCGGTCGAGTTGAATCAGTTGGGTTGACTCATTTGACCTAGTTGGTTTGACCAGTTGACTTTGACCAAGTTTGACCTTGAGGGTATTTTGGGATTTTGATGGAATTGGTCATTGGTGGGAATAGGTGTCGGTTACAGAGCTGAGATTCGGAGTCAGGACCCCATAAGCTTCTATTTAGGTTGTGAGGTGAGTCTTCTCACTGTATTAATGGGTCGAAGGCAACAAGGCCGACCCATTATTTGTATTATAGGATACAAATTACTTGTGTGATATGTGTGTGAAAGACCAGGGTTTGGCCCCTGACATCCGAATGAAAGACCAGGATTCTGGCCCCTGGCAGTTGCATGAAAGACCAGGATTTGGCCCCTAGCAATTGCATGGAAGACCGGGATTTGTGCCTCGGCAAGAATTATACATAAGATTATGATTTGGCCCATAGCATTAAATTGTATGTTCGTATGTGATACTTTGGGGAAAACTTACTACGCGTTTGCTTACAGATTGTGTTTATGGTTTCAGGTACTTCTGGTACTAAGGGGAAGGGCTCGACGTGATGGCACATCATTCTCTCGCACTATTTCTGCATTTTGATAGTGTACTATGATGTTGTGATGTTTATACATTGTGATGGTTTTTGGATAAATTTTATATCTATGGTACTTGTTTATTTTTGAAAAATGAAAATAATTGTTTTTATTCGGGCTTTTGGGTCGTTACAAATATCCACCTTCACCATGTCAACCATGTCCTTTGGATGTTCTATTTCTCATTCCAATGCTCCGCACAACTCTGTTGAATAGAAGTGCCATCATCTTCACTTTCCACAAAGTGAAATCATTCGAACCATTGAATTTCTTCAGATCGAACTTGTGAGATGTCGTTTTCAATTAGCATAACAAATTGTTGTTGTGATACCACTTGTTATGGAATAAACGAGAAAGCGTGTAGGAAAAACTCAACCATAAAGACACAATATTTAACGTGGTTCGGTCAAGGTGCCCTATGTCCATACAACAGGAGAGATTATTCTTATTCATAATATTTTCAAACAAAGTTACAAGTACAAGATTTGAAGATTTCAAGACAATTCGAATGAATACCACTGTTCTAAGGCATAAACATATATGAACAAATCACATCACATCACGCCATACAATCACTTCTAGAGACTTCCACCTTGAGGAACAATGCATGAGCACCAACTATGCTCATGGAGTACACCATGATGCCAAATGGGTTTATCATGTTCCATGAGGGCACATGATGCTCTATGAGGGCGCATAATGCTCTATAGGGGCATCTATTGGATTAGGTGTCTAAGCCCATAATTATGATTGGTATGTACTTGACCCGATAGTAGCATAGTCCTTTTAGTTGCCTTCACCATAACAACTTGACTGGATGAATTATGGAGAAAGAGGTTAATCGTGATTTATTAATATATTATAAGAATAACATATTAATTGGAAAATTATATTATTTAGTTAGTATTGATTAGAAATTAATTTGGAATTAATTTGGTGATCAAAAGAGACCGATTAAATTGTGGGGACTGATATTGTAATTATAAGATAATTGCAAAGTTGGGCTTGTGGATCCCTAAGGAAGGGATGGACGAATTCTATGAGGAAGTCCACATAGATTTCGTCCATTAGGGGCTTCTGGAAGGATCTATTGGTTTGCTTAATCCCTAAGCAGAGAATTAGGGTTTCAGTCAAATACCCTAATCACTCAGCTATATAAGGAACCCCTAGGACTCCCAAAATCGGCCACTTGCTTCCAAGAGAATACCTTAACCGATTTTGAGCCTCCAATCTCTCTCATATTCTTCCAACTTGTTATTTGGTGTTTGTGACTCACTAGAGGTGAAACATTTGAGGCACTAAGCTCTTGAAGGTCAAGATTTACAAACTACAAGCTAAGAGGTATTCTTCTAACTTTGTTTATGTTATGATTTCCGAAAATTGTATGTTAGTTAGGGTTCATGCTTTGGATGATTTGATTTGTATGTATAACTTGAGAAAAACATAGATCTAAAGCATTAGGGTTGCATGTACACCATACGAATGTTGTAGTGCTCAAAACCCATCAGCATCCTCCTTAGGAGGTTCATCCGTAAGTGCATCCGTGGACCTCCTTGAACTCTATAGTGCATCATAGAGAGGGCACACCATCCACGCAAAGGCTCACCATGCACCCTAGGGGGCACATCTTGCACCATAAGGGGAGCATCTTGCTTCTACAAAGCGCATCATGATTCCAACAACACATCATAATCACATCCAGACCAACACCAATTTGCAATGCATCTAACAATGCCCCCAACACATTTGACAATGACACACACCTTGTCTCCTTGGAGGAGCATCTTAAATTCCTAGGGCCACATCTTGATGCCCAAGGTTGGCCACCTGCTGAAGCTTCATGCTCCAGAATGCCACCAAATGCTCAAACTTGATTTACAAATGTTAAATCACATTTAACACCAACTTTTCAGTGAACGCTTCACGGATGTTTTGTTTAACCCTTAATTCGCTTACAACCCTACTTTCATACTCTAACTATGGGCTAATTTAGCAAAAAAAAAATGATTTTTCCACTTAAAATTTGATTTATCCAATACCCATCATTTCAAAGCTACCATAAAAATTGGTTTCTTAATAGAAGTATAAATTGTTTATGTAGCTTTGTTTCGTGCATTTAGCATTATCATCGCGTCGAATTGCGGGCCCTAATTTCCGCATAGATTATCCCTTTTACAAGTTGGGTACTTGGGTTGCTCTGCACTGATATCAGATCGATGGCAGTGGAATTGGGGAGACAGACCGAGACATCCGTCGTTGATCAGCTAAATAGTGTCACGGAGATGGAAAAGCCGGTTGGAAGTCGGCCAGTTTGGGGTGAAATTGAGCTAGCCGAAAGGTAAACTTTCAATATTCATACCTCTTATCTTGTATAACCTAATCATCTTTACATATTTCCGCAATTCTCTATTACGATCAAATTCCACTCGTAAGAACTTTGTTAATCGTTTCAACATACCAATTTTGACTCCCTAAAGTCGCTAGCAATTTCTCGGGCAAGTCTACTGTCTGGAAGGCCTAAATCGGTCATGTTTGGAGAGGGGTACTACACAATTTACATCGAACTGTAGATTACTTGGATCAAATATGCCATATACTGTTTTTATTCAATTAAAAGATACAAATATCTGCAAAGTAATGCACGATTCTAATATATACTTCACCACCTTGCGATGCAGTTACCTAGTTTGCTCTATGTTTGAAGATGCATCATCATCAGCTTCTTCAGTTCTTAAACGTTTATGTGACAAAGAACACATGAACACAGTTGTAGATGATGATATTGAGCTTAATGACATGCTTGAATCAGCTGGTATGGTGTTTGTGCAGTCCTTGAAGGAACTTGGAAGGTATTCATCTTTATAATTGCTCCTTCTAACAAGAGTTAAGAAGGGTAAAATAGTCATTTTACATGGAACATGGACCAAATTAGTCATGAAACTATAAAATAACAACCATCAACAAGTATTAACATGCATTTAACAATGATTTCTGTTTTCCAGGACATTGGAAATAATAAGTGAGTTAACTCAGCTGTTCGATTCACTTGCTGCCATTCCAATCCAAGTTTTCCTTGCTGGGTATTGCTCAATCATTGCAATAAGTCTTTTCTTTTATATATATATATATATATATATATATATATATATATTTATGTATTTAAGTATAAATTATTAATGTATGTGTGTATGTATATGCAATTGAATAATTGATTTGATGCAATGAGCCCTAATTCAAACAAAATACACTTTTTCAGGGTATGTTTTCAGATGCAAGAAGACCCTCAAGGGGCTCAAAAAAATCTTGAGGAATTTTTAAGCAAATGGAGATTTGTGGATGAAAAAATATTATATTCTAGCAAGTTTAGAGAAAAAAACAAATACAACATCTTACATGGAAGGATGTGGCAATCGATTTGTTCTAGAAGCAGATACATATCTTCAAGTTGTTGAGGCATATATAACACTTCTCTCAGGGACTATAAAAGGCATAAATCTTGCAATTTCTTGGGTTGAGAAAGCTGCATTACCCGAGCATATACGCCAGGTAACCTTTCCTTCTAGTGCTATTTTCGATGATCAGAATGAGAAGGGCATTCATGTCTTTTGCACAGACGAGAGATTAAGACTTAAGAGTGAGTCTAATGGAATTGGGGAGGGAATGGTTAATTCCAATGGAATTGGATTCCATTGAATCGGTTTATGGTAGAATCCAATTCCATTGGATTCTACCATAAACCATAAACCGAACCAATACCCTTAAATGGGTATTGGTTCGGTTTATTTTTCCCTTTAGACACTCTGCTATTTACTAAATCACCCTCATGTGGTTTCAATTTTAGGAGCTTTTACGGCGTTTACATTCCATTCACTCTTCCAAGGATACAGGATCACAAGCCTCCACGTCAGCATTGGTAACAGACGAAAATGTAACCTCAAGATCTTCAAAAACCTTGGAATCCGTGAAACAAGTCGATGCAAAACAAGCAATTTTAAGATATTCCGGACAACGTGTTCCTACATTATGGTGGTTCCGGACCCTTAATGTAAAGTTTGGTGGGGTCCGGTTTGCAGTATCAAATGGAAGTATCTTGATCACGATTTTGATGCTTCTCACATACTATTATATGAGAAGGAAGAAATATACGATAACAAGGTACGATTGTAACATTTTAATATAAACTGCATTTTATAAATGTTGTTAAAATTCATTCCTATCATACACAACAACCACACATGATCATAGAATGTAGCAATTTAGCAGCAGTACACATATTAATGGAATAGATCACAAAACTACAGAAAATGGTCAATATTTGATTCGGTATATAATTAATTTTTTTTATATATATATTTGTGGTTGCAGTATTCTCAAAAAACAGGCCTTGTTTGTGAAGAAATCTGTGATAGACTTATGGCAACTTGCATTTTCATACCAAGTAAATCCATTAGCTGCAGTTGAACCTCTCATAACCCGTTAATTATAATGTTAAATTATTTGTTTACAACACTTTACTCAATAATGTTAATTATTTTTATCATCCAAGATCTGCTATTAATAACAATGTACTTTTATTTATAGCAGTGTATATTTTTTTTTTCTTATTAGGACATTATACTTCGAAAAGTCTATGCAATTTTTGAAAGTTTGTTTGTATCTTGATGAATTTAATTTGCTAAATTTTTCAAAAAGCATAATGTTGTAATAGGAAGAAAATAGGAAGAAATGAAAATAGAATAGTTATACAATAAACGACAAATCAAATAGAGTTGTTTCTTGAATTTAATGAAATTGCACCAAAGTTGGTTGCAAAAATATAAAATAAAATCTTAGAGTAAATTATGGAAATGGTCCCTATGAAATTATAAAATAAATCTTAGAGTAAATTACGGAAATGGTCCCTGTGTATGACGGAGAATTGCAGTTTCAGTCAAAAAGGTTTTTATAACAATTTCGTTCTTAAGTATGAGATTTGTTGAGGATTCGGTTTCACATCGACTCAGTTAAAAACTGAGGTTAAATTCTTATAAAATATTATTATTTAATATTCAAAAAAATTTACACTGAATTGAATATTATTATTATTATTATTATTATTATTATTATTATTATTATTTTTAAAAATAAAATTGTTAAAATCAATTATATGTAAAAGAGATAATCACTACAATGATTTCAGATTTTGAAATTATGTAATGTGCAATATTTGTCATTTGCACCAAACAAATGTAAAAAAAAAATCAATTTCTCTCCTAACTATATGACATCTTTTTATGCTTTTGTATCATAGTGTGCTTCATATTTGGTAAATTTGTTATTTTGTTGTTAGATTCACATCAAAAAGTAGCATTTTGGACTCCATATGTATACTAAGGTATTTTCATAAGGGAAGTGATTCGTACACAATAGTTTTTTGTCATACACAACAATTTATGTATTATAGAATTGTACAATACAACATTTTAAAGCATCAATTGTTGTGTATGGAGAAAAATTGTTGTGTACAAATCAGTTCCCTTTTCATAACTGATAACCATTCACAGCCTACTTAAATTACAACTCTCATGATCATAACGTCCATTTAATGAAGATACGAGTATTTTCCCATGGTTCACATCTTCCACAATTCACCAATCCTCCATATTTCTCCTCATCTTGTACAAAATTAAGAATAACAACGCACTTTGACTTTTGTCCCATTTTCATCAACTACCTCCTACTATCAATATAGTCACTCATGTGCTTATCGACTATAGTATCCCTTTCATCAAGATTTCATCCATCAAGGACGTAAAGTATATGTTATTGCTTGAGTACAATTACCAGGTTACAATGCTAGCCAAGAATGTGCAATTTATTTTTCCTTCTCAAGAAAGTGAGTATAGGGATAAAAATGGTGGTGTTGGTCGTGCTTATATTAGTCTGTATCTACTATTAAACCACTTTTCTTTTCATTTTTCACCACTCTAACTCAAACCTTCTATATTCAACTCTCTTAAACATTCAACACTCATTTACCTATCTCAAATGTCTTCCTCAAATGCTTAACTCGGTTCCCGATTGTACCTTGGAGCACGACTGAATAGGTGACTTTGGCTCGTGCATGGGTTAATGTATCGGAGGACCCGTTGGTTGGCATCTAGGAAAGCGAGTCATCTTTTTGGAACAGAATCATCCAACGTTTCCTCAACGAAATGAATCGAGGTCTCTACTAAGCATAGATCAAATCTACACCTAATGGAAGAACACGAACAAAGCAGTAGTACAGTTTAACGTTGTGTTAATAAAGTGAGACATGATTGGCCAAATGGTGAAAATGATGGAACGGTGTTAAACACTGTTATTGAAATTTTCCGCCAAGAAAAAAACAATCATTTCTGGTATCTAGAATTTTGGCAAGTTGTCAAGGGATGCACAATATATAATATACACCCGTGTTACTTTTATGTTTTATGATTCCTATGTTTTATTTTCAAGTTATATTTTATTATAATATAATTGCCTTTTAGTTTAATGAAAACTTTGATTTTGTGTAAATTAGATCGTTTTAAATAACAAAAAAAATGTTGCATAGATGACAAGAAATTAAAGTGGTGTGACAACGTGACAATCTCTCGACACACATGATAGATATATAGTAGACCATATATAAGTATCTTATACGAATTGAAATAAGGTATATGTGAAATTAATGCTTGAAAAACTAAAGGTAACCCGTATAAGTCTGATAGAAAGCCTTGTATGAGCCAATTGTACATTTTCATTCTTCTAATCATGTTCATTTTCTTTCCTTCTCTCTAAAATCTCTTTCTCTCTCATGCCCTTTGTTCATCCCCACGAAAATCCCTTTCATCTTCTGGCTTTCTGTACCCCTGCGGCAGCCATCATTGTCCATAATCCATTGCTTTTCCGGTGGGCGCGCACTTTCCGTGCGCGCACCACTGCCAATCTCCGCCATTGTCATGACGGTGGCCCATGCTTATGCCCACCTTTTTCATGTTCTCATTTGTATTTCAATCCTCCACTATGTAAATAGTTCGGAATCCGACACCCTTCTTGAATTCAAGAATTCTGTTACCAATGGCAACAAGCTAACCACTTGGAACCCCTCCACCATCCCATGCAATGGCAACAAACCCAATTGGGAAGGTCTTCTTTGCACCAACGACGCCATTTCGGGTATAAGACTTGAGGGCAAAGGACTCGGTGGCATCATTGACATGAACATCTTGATAAAATTGCCTTCTTTGATAACGATAAGTTTTCAAAACAATAGTTTTGAAGGAGAATTCCCGGAGTTCAAAAAGTTACGTGGATTAAGAAGTATTTTCTTGACAGGCAACAAGTTCTCCAGAGAGGTTCCTTCGAACGCTTTTGAAGGGATGAGGAGGCTCAAGAAGCTTTATTTAGCGGATAACCATTTCAAAGGTCGAATCCCTTTCTCACTAACCACATTACCAAGGCTAAGAGATTTGATGCTCCAAAATAATCAGTTTGAAGGTGCGATACCCGTGTTTGTCAGTGATAAATTAATGATCGTAAACTTTGCAAACAATCATCTCCGAGGTACTATTCCGAAACGCCTTCAAAAGTTTCCCGCAAGTCAATTTTCTGGTGAGTTATTTCATTTTAGATTAATTCGTCCATGGTGAAAACCGAAAAAGCTTGTGAATTTTTGAAGGTTGTGTACGTTGGTCATGATGTCTTTTTGCCTTTAGGTAACAGCGAGCTATGTGGACCACCATTGAAGAAGTGCACGGCGGAGATCCCCACCAGCACGATCATCTTGATAGCATCGGTGGTGGTTGCAGCGTTGGCGGCGATCACTTTAGCTTTCTTAATCCTGCGACACTTTGGCACATCTGCAAAAGATTCCTTTCAAGTACCACCAACTTACGTGAAGGGAACTCCATCTGATCACCATGATAAGATGGAGCAAGGTCGTGGTAAAACCGCAGCCAAGAAGATTGATTCATCCCACAAGTTGACATTCTTCAGAAACGACATAGAAAAGTTCGATTTGGCAGACCTGTTAAAGGCGTCGGCGGAGATACTTGGTGGTGGGGTGTTCGGATCAAGTTACAAGGCCGCTCTCACTCGTGAAAAAGTGATAGTGGTGAAGAGGTTTAAGCACATGAACAACGTTACAAACAATGAGTTTGTGAAGCATATGAGAAGGTTAGGTAAGTTGAATCACCCTAACTTGGTACCACTTATCGCATTTTACTATCAAGAAGAAGAGAAACTCTTTGTTGCGAACTACGTTCAAAACTTCAGCTTAGCTGTTCATCTTCATGGTATGTTCGATTTTCCTAAAATATATGTCTATAATCATATACTTAGCAACGTTGCAAGCTAATTGTTATTGAAAACGTCTCAGGAAGGCGATCTAACGTAAGACAAACACTGGATTGGCCTACTCGGTTGAAGATCGTGAAAGGTATAGCAAGAGGGCTTCTACACCTCTACAATGAGCTTCCAAGCTTGATCGCACCTCATGGTCACCTCAAATCATCAAACGTTTTACTAAATCCAGAATTCGATTCGCTCCTTACAGACTACGGATTGGTTCCTATAACAAACCAAGAACAAGCACGAGATGTAATGATCTCTTTTAAATCACCAGAGTACAAGCAACATGGACGTATTACAAAGAAGACAGATGCATGGAGTCTTGGCGTGTTGATTCTAGAGATCATGACAGGGAAGTTCCCAGCAAACTCGTTCCAACAAAGCAAAGGTGGCGACACAGAGCTTGCGAACTTCATGGACTCAATGATGAAGGAGGAACCGACGAGTGACGTATTGGATAAAGAAATGGGAGGGTTTGATAAGCGTAATGAAGGGCAGATGTTGACGTTGTTGAATATAGGATTGAATTGTTGTGAACCTAACATAGAAAAGAGATGGGACATTAAAGAAGCTGTCAACCGGATCGAGGAGGTGAGAGAAAAGAATGATGAAGATGACAACATCAAACATTCAAAAAGATGACCGTGGTTGAGTTTTAAGAAGAATTAAGGATAGAGTGGGATTTAGATTATAATGACAAGGCATGAGGGTTGAAGTACCACTTCACTAAACCAGAAAATGCAAGTCAAATTCGTTGTAGTAAGGTAAAATTATGGATTTTAGGGGCTTAATAGGGTGTCTCTGAACCTAGTTATAAAATCTAGAGTTAATCATGTATATACGTTTTTGTAAGAAGATTATAGTAGTCCCAATAGATATTTTATATTTCAAAGATAGATATGTTGTACGTCCTTATATAAACTCGACCTTATCCACTTTGTTGCATATTACCCTAAATGAATTATAAGCCCAACGAAGTTTCTAAACCGTTCAAAAAACTTCAATTATGTTTTGTCTGTTCAAGAAAACCCAACGAACCAATGGCAGAGCTTGAAGTTTTGATTTGGGGGGGGGGGGGGGGGGGGGGGGGGGGGGGGGGGGGGGGGGCGAAAATAGAATATGTATAAAAATTGAAGAACAGGAGGGGGCCAAAGTCAAATTTTATAGTTTTAGGCATAATATGTAACTTTTTTTAATGTATAAGGACTAATTATAAAAAAAATAGGGGGGCCATAGCCCCCCTGGCCCTATATAACCTCCGCCACTGCAACGAACTTAACATTTTGTCTAAAAAAGTCCAACTAACTTACACTTCTCATTTAGGGTCAATCGACTAATGAAAGTCAACGAATGACATGGCTTATGACGTGTAATTAAATATCGGAAAATAACTTGTAAGACCAACGAAGTTTCAAAACCGTTCACAAAACTCCAATCATGTTTTGTTTGTTGAAAAAAACCCAACGAACTTATGCTTTTGTTCAATTCTCATTAGCGGCAACCAAATTCATTAGGTATAAAACTAGTTGGCAAATGACATGACATTATATTTAATGACATGGAATAAGCATATTAGAATTGCCCTTTATATATCGATTTAGGGCTTGGAGAAGAGAAAAACGAACGATGTGGGTGTTCGATCTCTTGTAATAGCTACTTCTTCTTCTCCTTCTCAATCGTTGATGTCCAACTCAAGATCTACAACGAAGATATTTGATGATGCAAACTCTTGTAGATGTAGACGCCCTTCTCAGATTTGGACATCTAGAATGGAGGATCTGATGGGTTTTAGGTAAAACAAATAAACTAGAAAACGATTCCTAAGTTCACATGCAACCTACTTTGGATCTATGTTTTAACTATTGAACATATAACTTTGAATTGCAAAACAAGAACCCTAGAGGAGGAGACTATTTTCGAAAATAACTAATTAGGGTTTAAGAGTTACATACCTTTCAATTGTTATAGTAAACAATTGATATCTCTTGAACTTGATCTTCTTGGAAGCCTAGCACCACAAATGTAATGCCTCTAATGGAATCACACCGAAGAACTAGCAAGAAGGAAACTAGAAGGAGAGAGAGAGAGAGATTAGGGTATGCAATTTCGGCCCTAGGGTTTCACCAAAGTAAGAGTGGCCAATTTTGGGAGTCAGGAGGCTCCTTATATAGCTGAGGGATCTAGGGTTTAGGGAAAACCCTAATACTCCTTTGCTTGGGGCCTAAGTTAATCCAAGGCCTTATCCAAGCCCCCTTGGACGAAATCATTAGGGTTTCCCCTATGAATTTCGTCCACCTCCTTCCAAGGAGGTTCTGGAACCTTCCACTCAACTATTTGATAAATGCAAACTAGTCCCTGCACTTTATAATTAATACTTTTAACCCCAAAATTAATTCTGATTAATTTCTGGCTAACTATTAATTAAACATAATGATTTCTAATTAATATATTAATCTTTTAACATATTAATAAATCATTTATATCAATTTATTAATCTTATAATAAATCAATATCTCTCCTTTCATAATTTCCTTGTCCAGTTGCTGGGTTTGAGGGCAACCCAAAAGGACTGTGCTGCTATCAATTCAAGTACATACCAATTATAGTTATGGGCTTAGACACCTAATCCAACAGTCTCCCTCTTGGATAAGTCTGTAACTATAATTGCTAGTATGACTTCTAAATTTGACCAGCAAATTGTAGCTTCCAAAAGCTGTTGCTGAACTCTGACCCAGTCAGTTACGTGTCCTTAGATAAGTGATCATATAATCCTTCGTTTCTGCAAGATATCACCAGATATAAGACATGGAATGTAATCAATCTCTTTGTCCAGAATCTATGTTTCCCGATTTCTGATTTGTGATGATATAGGACTTCTAATCCACATCAATTTAGTCCTGGCTGGGCCCAGCACATAAGTCAACACCAAATCATCGAGGGGCCCACATATATCTATTTTCCCGTTAGGGCAAAAGGAACGAATAAACGTTGACTCATATGCTTGTATCTTTTACTCATCAAACCATACATGACAATACGTTTTATAACACCAGGTTACTGATGCGTTTTCGTATCACCAATGTATAACCGAATTTGCAAATTACAACTCATATATCTTCGTTTCAAATTATAAGATATTATCGTCTTAGTATTACTCCTGATGAATTCCATGACGTAATACTTTGAGCGAGGGTTTATCCAATACTCAAATCTCAATTTCTGAGTACTCATGAACATTGCAGCAATTCTATTGCTATGTCTAACTCCCTTAGACAATCTGCAATCCAATTCATGACAGTCTTAATTCACTACTTACTTCCGAAAGTACGAGTGACTGTGGAGTTTGAATAATTATATTATTTGGGAAGTAAAACATGCAAAATATGAAACACAATAATAAACAATTGACAAAAGGCAGTAACCAAACTTATAAATAATACTTTATTATTTAATCACCAAAAGTCAATTACATTTACTTTGTTACAAGTTTCAGAACAAAACTAATCTAACTACTAAAACTAATATCATCTCTCAGTCCAATGCTCCGAGCATGCTGAATATGCTTAACCCTACTCAGACCCTTTGTGAGGGGGTCTGCTGGGTTGTCTTCAGATGATACCCTCTTCACAACAAGATGGCCTTCTTCTACTCTATGTCTTATGAAATGGTACTTTCTGTCGATATGTCTGGTTTTACCATGATCTCTGGGTTCCTTTGTTAAGGCAACAGCTCCTTCATTATCGCAGAACAGTTCCATAGGCTCCTGGATGGTTGGAACAACTCCGAGATCTCCGATGAAGTTCCTCAACCAAGCTGCTTCTTTCGACGCTTCACTCGCTGCTATGTACTCTGATTCACAAGTAGAATCAGCCACCGTATCTTGCTTGGAACTTTTCCAAGTAACTGCTCCTCCATTCAATAAAATACCCAGCCTGATTGAGAACGGAAGTTATCTCTATCCGTTTGAAAGCTGGCATCACTGTAACCATCTACTCTCAAAGTATCTTTGCCACCAAGCACAAGGACCCAGTCCTTTGTGCTTCGCAAATACTTGAGTATATTCTTAACCGTTATCCAATGAGCTCTACATGGGTTTCCCTGATAGCGACTGACCATGCTCAAAGCAAATGCTACATCAGGGCGAGTACATGTCATAGCGTACATGATCGATCCGACAACGGAAGCATAAGGTACACGACTCATGTCAGCTATTTCCTCATCTGTACTCGGGCATTGAGTCTTACTCAATTTGGTATTGCTTTGGATAGGTAGCTCTCCCTTCTTGGAATTTTCCATACTAAACCTCTTTAGTACCTTATCCAAGTATGTGCTCTGACTAAGTCCAATTAGTCTCTTCTTTCTATTTTTTGTCAATATTCTAATCCCAAGAATATAGGCAGCTTCTCCAAGGTCTTTCATGGCAAAACACTTTCCAAGCCAAGACTTAACATCTTTCAAGGTTGGAACGTCGTTACCAATGAGTAATATGTCATCGACATATAATACCAGAAAAGTTACTATACTGCCACTAGCCTTGATATACACACAAAACTCATCTTCACTTCTAGAGAAACCAAACTCTTTGACTTTCTCATGGAAGCAAAGATTCCAGCTGCGAGATGCTTGTTTCAATCCATAAATGGATTTCTCAAGCTTGCACACTCTATTGGGAAACTTTGCATCAACAAAACCCTCTGGCTGATTCATGTAAACATCCTCAGCCAACTTCCCGTTAAGGAAGGCAGTCTTGACATCCATCTGCCAGATTTCATAGTCATGAAAGGTAGCTATGGCGAGCAATATCCTAATAGATTTACTCTTAGCTACTGGCGAGAAGGTCTCATCATAGTCAACCCCTGGGGTTTGAGTGAAACCTTTTGCAACCAGTCGAGCCTTGAATGTGTGCATGTTTCCATCCATGTATGTCTTCTTCTTGAAGATCCATTTGCATCCAACTGTCTTACGACCTGGTGCACTATCAACCAAATTCCAAACTTGGTTGTCATACATGGACTTAATCTCGATGTCCATTGCCTCTTTCCACTTGGAAGCCTCTGGGCCTGCCATTGCTTCCTTGTAAGTAACTGGTTCATCTAAATTTACCAGTGTCCTATCACTGATGAATGTGTCACCATCTGAAGTAATATGAAAACCATACAACTCAGGTGGCACACTCACCCTAGTGGATCTTCGAAGAGGTAATGAGTTATCAACTGGTTCAACAGGAACTGTTTCCTCTGGTTGAGTGCTAGTGTCATCTAAGGTTCCTTCATTGGCTAACTCTAATTTCTTCAAGGTCAATGGTTGCTCCCACTGTCCTCTTTGAATATGAGCTCTCTTTCTAGAAAGACTCCTCTTCGTGCTACAAAGACCACGTTTTCACTAGGTCTGTAGAACAAATATCCAAAAGACTGTTTTGGGTAACCAATGAACACATTTCTCACTTCTAGCTGCTAGCTTGTCGTGAGTCTCTCGTCTTACGAAAGCTTCACAACCCCAGACTTTAATATGTGCTAACGAGGGAACTTTCCCCGTCCACATTTCGTGAGGTGTTTTGGTAACCTTCTTTGTAGGGACAAGATTGAGGATGTGGGCGGCTGTCTCTAAGGCATACCCCCAGAAGTGAATAGGAAGCGAAGCAC